GATTCCAAGGGCCTGGAGCTCTGGCCCACGGACTTTTTTCGTTCTGGAGTTACCCCGGTGGGTGTGAGTTATTGCACTGGCCCAGGGGAGCTGGGAGGCCCGGTTTGGGAAGTTTTGCAAGCAGGTGCATGAGCCATTTTTCTCTGATGATGTTTAAGAAATGTGCAAGAACAGCGGCCAGAGTCAAGAAACTGGGGGATGGAGAGTGACCTCGAAACCAGACAGAAGGAAGGAAACAGATCTGAAGATGGATGGAAGCCAAAATGGAGGAGTTAGGGGCCTCCTCCCAAGCTGGGCTTTTCTTTTTGTTATTCTTTTTTACAGGTGGGATACCTTTACTAGATCATTGGATTTCCGTTTTTGTGAGTTATTATCAAACTCTGTTATAACTAGGAAAAAGAGAAAAGGAGGCAGGATCTTCGCATTTAATAAATCTGAATACCAAGTTTTCATCCTGGTGCATTTGTTCTTAAAATATCCTGAGAGTCTAGGGTGGAGGGCAAAATATATTTTCATTTATGAGGAGGTCAACTGTTGGAGACTGCATATCAGTTTTTCTGAATCTTTCCTCTTGCAGTCCTCTTTGAATCTTATTGGACATAAGGTTTTAGAACCAGCCTGGACTATTTTATGCTCTTGCTGCCTAAGCACTGGAGGAGAAAAGGGCTGTGGCTCATGATAATACATTTCCACATTTTTAAGGTTTCTGATTCTTCACATAAACACCTCTAGACTATGATGAAGTCTGTTAATCTTTAAATTACTAAGTACTGTTAATCTTTAAATTACTTTACGGTGGGCATAATTATTTTTACATCTATTTTCTTATTTAACCTTATTGACACGCCCCGGGGAATACCCGCCATAAGGAAACCGAAGCTGGAAAAGTTTTCAAGTGTCAATGTGTACAACGAAAGAGAGAAAGATTATTTTAATGCTTCAAATTTATATAACACTTTTTTTCTTTTCCCTCTATATATTTCTTCCCATATGCCCTTCCCCAAACCTTGGTAGGCAGAGCAGGAAATGTTACCCCAGTTTTACAGATAAGAAAACTTGGGCTCTTACGTAGCATGTAGAGGCAGTAAGTCCTGGTTGGGGGATTGGGAAGGAATTCCCCATACTGGGCTTTTGTCTTGTCCTCAGTCGGCTTTTCATTCATAAGACATTTAGGAAGATGGTTTGTAACAGAAACTATTTAAGTATAGGTTGTTAGGATGAATAAAAGAGGGAGAAAGAAACCCTTTTAATATGTTTCTCCCTTCTTTGCTCAATTTTTGTCCAGCAGGAAAACACTTTATTAAAGGTACCCCTTAAAAATTTTAGGGAAATGGGATTTAAAATTAGAAACTACTCATGTCGGACAAAGTTATCTCAAGGACTGTGGGAGAAGACTGGTGTATCAGGAATATAGCAAAGGAAGTGAGATGGGAAAATGAAAACGGGCTGTAGTTTGAAAGTCCCAAAGTGAAATTTAACGCACAAGCCACTTAAATTTAAATCCAACAATTTGTTATATAGCTTAGGCCATAGTAAATGACCCTGTCCTTTTAAGAACTGTTTTTTGAAAAGGAAAACACAGTTTTAAAAACAAATTATGGATGCATTTGCAGTTTTCAGTTAAATAATGAAAAACATCCAACACCAGACCTAACTATCACCCTATCCTGGCTTTTTGGCAGCCAGAAGGCCACATGCCCCAGGTGCTCTGCCATCACTGAGTAGTGGACCTGGACAAAAGTCAGGAACACGGCTACCTCTCTGCGTTACCAGATTCTGATCTCTTGAAAAAAAAAATCTTCAGATCCAGTGGTAGGATGCTCTTTATCCCTGGCAGCAGTTACAGCAAAGATTGGGAAAGCCCTCGCCAGAAAAAAGGCAAAAGTTTCTGAGGCTCTCCACCCCCAGGCGCTGGCCAAGTCCAGGGCCACCGCGGGAGCATCGCGTGTCCACGTGCATTCGGCATGCCCAGCCATCCTTACGTAAGAGTCCGGGACGGGGTTGCAGCTGCTGCTGGTCCCTCTTCCCCGACGGCTAATAATAAACTGGGTCTGCAGTTTCCGGCTCCCGTGCACTCTTCATTGGAGGGTGAGGGGCTGGCTCACTTTG